TTGGCAAGGGCTGCTCGGGCCCTCTCTCTGTGGCAGCTTTGGGGGTGTTAGAATCCTCACCCTGAAACCCTGAACCCGTAGAACAGCCGTAGAACCTCGACCATGAAACCCAGAAGCCCGGAAGCTCCAAGCCCCTCGAGTCCTATGGTGGCATAGTCTCTGAGACATCTTCGCTTGGGCTCAGGGCTCTTAAAGGTCCCAAGGAATGCTGCTGTAGCGTTCAGGATCGTCTCAGAGGCCAAGAAGGGCCAAGAGGAGGCAGCTTCCGGCTTGGAGGAGCAGGCGCTTTGATGCTTTCCCGATACGAAGACTGACAACAACCTTGGGTGCAGGGTCTGACTTTTCACAACCAGACTGGGGGTATATTAAGGCTAAGGGTATAGGGCTAAGGGAATCGGAATGAAGCCAACCAGCTGACTGGGAGTGATGCAAAACCAAGACCTGACGAGGGCTATCACTGAACCATCACTCTGAAAGTGCAAGAAACTACAAGGTGTCTTTCCGGGCTTTACACTTTCCACGCCTGCAGCGGTTCGGGAGTAGGAGAGGGCGGAGGGAAGCTCTTCTGATGGAAACACGGAAGTCAAGAGCCGAAAAAGCACCCGTACTCAAAACCTCGGGCCACGCAGTCTCCTTAAAGGATCCTGAACAAGGGGCCGAACACCTTGCCGACGCGATTGTTTTCACAGTAAGGGAACTAGATACTTGTGATAGGCCCGTCCCTGTCATGATAACTCATGACTAGTGATGATGGCTATGAGAACTGATTGCTGCCTTGATTCCTTGATAGACAGACAGATTGGTCGGCTGATTCAACACCGCGACGGTGGTGGTGTGGATGCGAGAGTTAACTACCAATGTCTCAGCTGCCCGCTTCTTCAATCGGTCCCGAAGCCGTTCTGTTGCAGCCAGGCACCTTGCTCTGCTTTTTGTCAGGGAACGCCCACGATTCCTATTCGGTCTTTTGGGGGTCATGCTCTCGTTCTGCCAGTTTGACCACCAGAATGGTTGCTGCCGTTGCTAGCAGTCCGACTGTGGAGATTTTGTGACTGTGCACAGAATGATGATCTGATCATGCCCCTGGAACGGCATCTCAGGACCTCGGCCACTGAAGGTGACGGCGAGGCTCCAACTACTCCTAACTCCTACGACCTCAGCTCTGAAGCTCAATGCGTCAACGCAAAGGGTCAGTAGGCTCGAAGCTTTACGGCTCACAGGGCTTCCAGGCTTCAGTCATTGAAAGTCTTCGGGACGCTTTGAGAATGTGGGGGTTTTAGGGCTGAACAGCAAGAGCCGAGTTCGCAGGTAGATCGATGCGGCTCACAGTCACGCTTTCGGGTCGGCATCCCGACAGCGACTCCGAACTCCCTTCACAACCCGAGCCCCCAACCATGAACCTAAATCTGGCAGCCTTTTCTTCCACCATGAGAGTAAGTCGTCCGTCAGATCCAAGCTGAGCATTTTGAAGAGAGATTACGGCTTCGAGGCTAAAGTGCAGGGCAGCGAGCTGCTTCGTGTATGACTTTAATTATTTTGCAGTTGGACTGTTTAAGGCTTTAGGGCCCTTGAGGGTGCTAGGATGTCGGGTTCTAGGAGCTCGGGTATGGAAGTCGCCTAGAAGCTGTCTCTAGCTTGTTTGAAAACTCGCCGTCCTTCTGCTGGGGTTCTTATGCTTAGGATCATGCTCCTCCTTTGGGTTGGTTATACACTCCAAACGCCCACAACAGACCATACTTTCGGAGCCTCCCATCTACCAATAAGGCAAGCGTACCGGTTCATGGCTTTCGGAGCTGCAGCCGAGGCCACGGCGTAGCGGGTGCGCTGCCTCCGAGGAGGAATTGGCACTCTGACGCCCTACGGAAATATGGTAGCCTGGATGATTCGGCTACTGTGCCGCGGTACATGATAGTAAAACTATGAATTAGCCAGACCTCTATACTACTGCTTTCAACAAGCCCAACTTTATCCTAGCACCGGAGTCCTGGATTCACGAGGAAAGGAAACTGACACTTTATCAAAACTGGATAGTACAGCGTTGTATCATACGATCGGCAAAACCTTCTTGCAAACCTATCTGCCAAAACAGATTCAACAAAATGCATCAATGATCATGATCACCGAGGGCATTACACAACAATCTTGATTATAATTTGAGTTCTTCCTGTGGTGAAGCTATACCACTCCTTGCACTACTTCAGCTTCTAATCGCAGTGTGTTTCGAGCGAATGCAGCTTTTGGGTACAGCACCTGACCCTCTCCCAAACTGACGTGGAGCTAACAAGTTTAAAGGGGGCCGGGTGGGCTTGGGGGCGCGCCTTCTCGGGTTGTGGGGTGTTACCATGCAGTGAATCAACCGACCGTACTGGCGCTTATGACAGGTTATCATCATAATTATCACCATCCTGAAAATGATGAGCAACAACGCTTCTGCGCCTGTGCCTGCTGGTGTCGCGCCCTCGGACACAGCTTCTCGCGGCGAGGGCGATGACTCAGTGGGTGCAGGTCTTGCACATGCTTGCCTAAGGGTCTGAAGGCGCCTTGGCGCTTCGGATTTCTGCCGTTCGGCCCTCGGATCGAGCAATTGCTAATCCCAAAAACATACAAGCAGCACTCGGTCACGCGCTGAATTGGCGGCCAACTGCCGCATCTGCCGTCGCTCCAGCGGTGTCGGCATGCTGTCACCTGGTGGGACAGTTCGGAAGACATTTGAGGGTTCAGGGTTTGAGGGGCCTGGGGTCTTGTCTCACTTTGTCTCTCTGGCGGTTGAAGAGATCTCCTCTCTTTTTGAGATACTGTAATTTGCTCAGCAGGTTCCGGCGCTTGCTAGCCAAAAACCTTCAACCCTGAAGGGCCCTAAAGGCTACCCCAAGCAATTGGATGAGGCGAGTCTTACCTAACCTCTGCTGGGCCGCCTAAGGCTGAAGGGGCCGGAGGAGGAGAAGCCGCCGAAGGCTCCTCCGCAAATGGGCTTGTTGTTGCTGATTTTCTGTTATAAGTTATAAGGGTTATCTAATCCTTGAATTGGCTTTCTAAAGGGGTCCCACTGGGGCTCGAGAACGGGCTGATATGATTGATTTTAGGCAGGGTGATTCGGAATACATCCCTAGAGTAATGTTTCAGACTCGGGACTTGTCGTTCAGATTCCCCCGCAGGCTTGGCCGTCTTTGAGCTCAGGGCCGATCGCTCGCATTCTTGATTTCGGGTTCACAGCTTCCCGGAATTTTCTGACCCGTTTCGGCTTTGAGTTTTCGCTTGCAATCAGCAGTCTCAGAAAGGGGTCCTGACAACAACATCTGCATTGAAGGACTGCTTGTGAACCTGCCCGAGCCCAAAAATGACACCAATTCCCACTGCACTTGGGCTAACGACGCCCCCAGCCCGACAAGTAACCCAGCACCTCAAGCTCATCGGGGAGCTCTGCAGCTGCAGGCGCAATGTCCCTTGCAACCGGAACGGAATGGCCTGCGAGTTCGATGAGCGTGGTGGGGGTGGGGGTCCAGACACGCCGTTGGGCAGCCGGCGCCAGCAAGCAACTTGTTTTCCAGTACTTTTTTGCGGCTGCAAGCTCCGATCAACTTATACCCGACAAGGAACCATAGTTACCATATTTTGGAACCGACATACACACGCACGCATGCATGCACGCGCCCGCGCGCACACACAAAGAGACCCGAAAACATTGCCTCACAAGCTTATCATTCCAGAGAAAATCCGCGTGAGAAAGGTTACCGAAAACATCGTGCATAAGGAACTCACTCCCAAAAGAAGGAATCCAGGCTAGCCCACTCAGCCACTCAGCTTCGAATGCAGGTAGATCAGTACTCCCCACCTCCACACCTTCATCAACCCTGTGCTCACTCCCAAGAGACTTCGCAATTAAAACTGAAAGTTTGCAATTTCGTTTGATTCTGGGCTTTAGGGCCATGGGGCTTACCACTGTCAGGAATAGAGTTGGCCTAGGCGGACTCGTGCTTCGAGGCTTCGAAGGTTTTGGTGCCAAGCCTGGCTCGTACTGCCCCGATGCGACGATCGGTCTGTTGGGCTCCTGCAAATGGCTGCTTCGATGTTCGGAGCATCTCCAAGCCCAGGTTATAAGAAGCATGCAGCTGCACTGACAAACATGCACTGGCTGTGCACAGTCAGTCCACGACGCAAACACTGAACCTAGCCCAAATGCAGCCCAAGACTTAGCTGCCTCTTATTATGACCCTTTATACAGCCTGCAGATGGTTGCAAATGCCTGCTTTTGGACCCCATGTCCGAAACCTCTAGGCTAACAAGTTTGCAGACTGACTCGTGGTAGATAATGCCTTACAATGTAAGGGTTCCAAGGTTCTGGGGTGGATTTTACTTAACGATGTTGCACGAAAATTTCAGCTGGAGGATACACAAAATCGATAACTGTGCGGGGCGCCGATAGCCCATCCGATGTTGCGCGACATGTGCGACGCAAACCTACCTGAACCCCGAAACCTCCGCAGTTGAAACCGCCAAAAGCCGTAACTCTAAGCCGCACATCCAAAGCCTCTTCCGACGCCTTGGGTGCAGGCAGGGGTGCCGGAGGAGCTGGAGTTCTCTCGCCGACTTCGTCCCAGGCCTTCAGCGTGAATGGCAGTGGGGCTACGACTGTGTTGATTTGCCTCGACTGCTTGATTCCCAACCGAAGCTGTTCCCGCAAAGGCCATCCTGAAACGTTGCTAGTCCGCACGACTTTGCTAGGCTTCTCCCTCCCCTGTGTACTTCCTACCCGCACCCGGCCTCCTACAGACCTAAATGACACGCCCCTTCTTTTCATGTGAAAAGCATCCTTTTTGCTTGACTCTTTCTTTCGTGTAAAGTGTGGCCGGATGCTCCAGGCGAGTTGACGACTCACACGATCGACAGTCACAAGGCCTGGTCGCATCTAAAGGAGTAAACCTGGGAGATTAAAACATGCGCCCACTACTTCGCAGGCAGCATCATCAATATCGAGATCTTCAAGTCCGAAGGCTGTGTCGGACCTATTTACAGTAGCAAAGGGGCCTTCGACCGGGAAAAGCAACTGGACTAATGCAGTCAATGTTGCTTGCAGTCTCGATTGGGTCCCAATAGTAGCAATCGTTTGCTTCTGGAGGACCCCTGGTGAACGGACTTCCTGCACCGTTCCTTTTGCGATTGCTCGGGTCGGACGGGGGCGTGCAGGTCAGGTTGAGAATCGAAAGCAAGTCTGCCAAGGCGACGGAAGAGTTGATGGCTGCCATCTCCTCCTTGCCGCACTCCGTGTAGTTCTTGGCGGTGCAAAGGTCGTTGCAGGTCTGGTCTCTATCAGCCGAGAACCAAGGACCCGTTGGATCCTGAGTGCAAACCATTTTGGGGAGGCATCAGATGGTGCAGAAACACCCGTCGGCTCAAGCCACTCTCAAGTTTCACAGCTCAATGCGCCCAGCATCGCTTGCTGCACTCTGCAGCTCGCGCAATGCACTGGGCCAAGGAGCTGAAGCTCTAGTTACATACTGTACTGGTAGCATGCCTGAAGCCCCAGGGCTCATGTCCAATCGCCAAGCCGACCAGCCTTCCCTGAACCTCTGCCTGTCGGAAACTCCCGTGAATGCCCGGGCTACCGATGCAGCCCAGCAGCAGGAACGGCCTTGGGCTGACAGGTGCAAAGCTACCCCTCCATGCCACCCACCCACAGACACACACACACACACTCTCTCTCTCAAACACAGAGTCCTTGCAATTGCAAAAGATGCCATCGAGCAGCCGGTTCCACCTCGGTCGGGCACCACAAGCCACAGGAAGATGAATCGGAACCCGCGTGAACGCAACGAGTGCTGCCAAGATGCAGGAACACAGTAGCAAAGGGGAGTGCGCTTGTTGAACGAAACGTCGTCGCAGTCGATGTCGCTTGCAGGCTTGGTTGGGTCCCAGTAGTAGCAATCGTTATCCGGAGGACCCCTGGTGAAAGGACTTCCTCCGCCGTCTCTGGAACCCCCTTCCTCGGTGCACGTAGTGTTCGGCAGGCCAAGCTCGGCAACCAAAGCCTCAATTGCTTCCGTCGAGTTAATGGCAGCCATCGCCTCCTTGCCGCACCTGAAAACGTTCAAGCCATCGTTGAACTCTCCGCAAGCTTCATTGCATGGGGTTTTCACCGCAGCCGAGATCCAGAACGGCTGCACCTTCCGGAACCCTAAAGAGGACACCAGCAAATTCTACTCGCTGTGTTCAATTGTACCAGCCTATAGGATGTGGGGTGTGGAAGACGGGGTAGCATGGAGTTCTACGTACCACAGCCAAGGAAAGCGCAGGGATATCGAC